GCAAATTTATAAGTATAAAAATTGTCGATGGTAAAGCAAACTATTCATAGAAAAGATTCACACTGATTCAACAAATATTTATTAAATTCTTAGAAAATTCCAGGAACTATGCCTTTTGCTGGGAGTCTAAAGATAACAAAAGAGGCGGCACCTGTGTGGCTCAGTTGGTTGAACATTTGACTCTTGGTTTCAGCTCAGGTCATGATCCCAGGGTTGTGGGATCTAGCCCCATGTTGGGCCCTTCAGTAGGAGCCTGCTTAAGATTCTCTCTCTGTCTCTCTCTCTGTCTCTCTCTCTCTCACCCCCTCCTCCCACTCTCCCTCCCTCAGCCCTTTTCCCCCTTCTCAAAAAAAAAAAAAAAAAAAAAGATGAAAAAGAAGCAGATTCTGACATCAAGTTAGCTTGGAGTTTAGAACAGATGGATTTATCAGATAGTTTCAGTTTAAGTGCTAGTAATGTACGAATTAATATGGAAAAATACAATGCAGATAGTCATTTCTCAGTGAGGTGTTTCAGGGGGAAATTTGAAGATAAATCAAAAGGACAAGAGTTAGCCAGATTAAATTTTGGGTGGGACGGAGTGGGTTGAGATAGAGTGAGGGATAATAGAAGGAAAGGGTGATGAAGATGACAGCCTTTTAGGCAGAGAGAACAGCATCATGAACAAAGTGATGGAAATGTGTAACAGTGTAGTATATGTAGGAAAACTACAAACAATATTATTAAAACACAAGGGATAAGATGAAAACTGGTAAAAAAAAAAAAAGACTAGAGTTAATGATAACACTAAAATCTAGTATTATTTGAAGGGTAGTTAATATACACTAAGCTTAATGTTCATGACCATACTTTAACTTGAGAATATTCTTCTGAGGCCTATAAACTTATATTCCCCTTGCTGTCATGTCTACCTCCATGATTTTACTCTGATGGCATGATATTAGCAGTATATGCCATTAAAAATTGAATGGAGGCAGATTACAATATAGAAACATCACTGGAAGGAGTGCTGAAGGTGGTACTGCCACATTCTTAGGCCTGGCTGTGAGGTGTACAGATACAGACACTCAATCTTGTTAGCATTCCAGAGTTGATTCTACCTTGGGTATGCAGATTCATGCTAACCACATTTGTAGGATACTATAATTTAGCCAGAATGTTTTGAGGCAGTAGAAACCTAGCCTAGCATTTGTGAACAGTGCTTAGGGGTTTTGGTGGAAACATACCATGAGTCAGCAGAATTATGTCCTTTTGATAAGGTCATAAAATCAGAGGCTGAATTAATAGAGGAAAAGTATTTCAAGATAATAGAGGTAGTAGTCCTTTCTTGTATTTATCAAACCACAGAATATTTGAGAAAAATAAATATGGATGCTAAGCCATGTCACATGAAGATAAGTTGAAGCAGTTAGGTAGATATACCTTAGCCTGAAGGAAAGAATAATGCCTTCAAATAACATTTACATGGTTTTTGAATTTATTACCCTCTGCCAGACTGACTACTATCTCTCTTAGTTCAGACTCTTATCACTAGTCACATGAATTACTTCAGTAGCCTAAGTTGTAGAATATAAGTGAATCTGTTCTGGCTAGTTATATGTAACTATTAAAGATACTAAGTAGCTCGTGAATCAGGAGGGTTGTAGAAACAAGCTTCAGATAATATTACAGGAATGACTACCAGAACCACACAGCTGAAATACAGTTCAATGAAGGAGCTGTTGTCACCCCAGAACCACCTGGTCGAAGTGTTGTGATGAAAAACATGCAGCTGCTACCATCATTTCCATAACCATATCACCTCTTATTGCCACCTCATGCCAGCAAAATGGCACACACTTGTGGCCTGCTTCCTTACATAGTTCACTTCTGAATCCACACATCCTATAAACGCATTTCATTGGTGGAAACTAAGCCACATGTCTGTACTCTAGTTATAAGGGAATCTGGCAAATGTAGTTTTTATAGATTCTTCCTTGGTTAGGTGAGAATGACACTGGGAAGATGTATTAAAATGCAGCGAGCATGTTTAAATGTTGTTGAGCAGCTGAAAAGAACAGAAGACCACTGTGGTTTCCTAGCTAGTCTCCTTGCCTTCACTAATATTTTTCTCATCTTTTAAGACCTAAGTCCTGGTAAAGACTTTTCTGATATTTCCATCTATCCTCTGTGTTCCCTAGTATCATATATGTGCCTCTGTGAAAACTGTTTGCATGTCTGTTTTCTCTGCTGGACCATGAATTATTTATTTTTATTTCTTTAACAAATAGGCATTTATTAAGTATCAGGCATTAAGTGCATCATAAATGACTCATTTAATTTGTGGAACAAGCTTTCTTTCAATTTGCACTCCTCTCGCCAGCTTAGCATAGTCCTTGGTGCATGGCACTTGTCCAGTAAATAAGTGATTCAATATTTAGAAAATAGAGAAGAAAGAATGATGACACAGTCCTGCCTCTTTAGTTCACTATTCTATTTCATCGTACATGTTTTATATTTAGTCTTCCAGAGAAAAAGTTGGCAAAATTAAACTTCCCTAGTATGGGATAGGCTGCCTGTGAGGTAGTAGGTTCTCTGTTAGTTGAAGTCCACTCAGAACATAGATGAGCATCTGTGGACTACATTAAAAGTGCTATCCAGACTTTTTTCTGTGATTCTACTTTGACTCAACAATGCTTGATCTAGCCTATAAGAGAGAGGAAGAAGATGTCTTCTGTCTTCAAGTAAGTCATTAAGAAGGAAGATATACAAATGAGAAATAAGGAGATAAGATAGGAAAGATAGGGGTAGAGACAGTGATACAGGTGATTAGGAAGAAGGATACTGTGTATATATAAACAAAATTTATTAAGTATTGACCTTGAACAAATCATAGGAGTCACTGCAATGCATGCAAATATAGATCAAGAGATTTTTGCTGTCAGTGAAGTTACTATTCTATAGATAGATGCAGTTTGATTTCTTTTCATGGATCCTCCCCCCCTTATATATGAGTCTTTAAAATAATGTTAATATTAGGGTGCCTGGATGGCTCAGTAAAGTGTCTGACTCTTGGTTTCTGCTTAGGTTAGGTTTGTGAGATTGAGCCCCATGTTGGATTCTGTGCTGACAGCTTGGAGCCTGCTTGGGATTTTCTCTCCCTCTCTCTCTGCCCCTCCCCTGCTCACTAGCATGCCCTCTTGCTCGTGCTCTCAAAAAAGATGAATAAACTTAAAAAATAATGCTAATATTTTTAGTGATCATTACTTTCCTTGATTAAAAAATAGCAATAGCCAGAATTATTAAGAAAATAAGGTGATAAAAGTACTTATTTTTTTAAAGTTGAAATATGAATCACATACCATAAAATTCACTGTTTTAAAATATATAGTTCAGTGTGGTTTTTTAGTACATTCAAATGAAATTGTTGTGAAACCAACACAGCAATCAATTTTAGAACATTTTTATCATTCCAAAAAAACACACACACACCATAACTATCAGTAGTTACACCCCAATACTATTTCCCCTCCGTTGCCCCAGCAACTACTAATCTGTTTTCTGTGTCTATAGATTTGCCAATTCTGGGCATTTAGTATAAATGGGATCATACAATATGTGATCTTTTGTGACTGGCTTCTTTCATTTAACATAATGTGATTTTAAGTTTCCTTCCTGCTATAGCATTTATCAGTACTTCGTTCTTCCTTATGACTGGAAATACCACATCTGTTTATCCATTCATCACTTGATGGACATTTGGGTTGTTTCTACTCTTTAATGCTGCTATGAACATTCATGTACAAGTTCTTGTGTGGCATACATTATTGTTTCTTTTGGGTAAAAGCTGGGTCACGTGGTAAGTTTTTGCATAACCTTTCGAGGACTGCTGGACTATTTTCCAAAATAGGTGAATCATTTCACATTCTCACTGGCAGTGTGTGAGGGTACCAGTTTCTCCATGTCCTTACCAATGTTTGTTTTTATTATCTTTCTGTATCCTAGCCATCCTAGTGGGAATGGGGTGGTATCTCATTGTGGTATTTATTTGCATTTCTCTAATGAATAATGATGTTGAACATCATGTGCTTACTGGCCATTTCTATATCTTCTTGAGAGAAACGTCTGTTCAAATCCTTTGCTCATTTGTAGTTAGGTTATTTGTCTTTTTATTGTTGATTTGTAAGAGTTCTTTATATATTCTGTATACAAGTCCCTTATCAGATATAATTTGGAAACATTTTACCCATTCTGTAAGTTGTCTTTTCATTTGATGTTGCTCTTTGAAGCAGTCATTTCCAACTTGGTTTTGTGACTCCTCAAGAGTGTCATATTATGTTGCAAGGGTTAATATGAGTTTCACAATGAGTAAAGATAATTTGTATAGTGAAAATGTTATATGTGTATTTATCACAAAATAAAGGAAGATTCCCTGCCAAATTAAAGCTTATTGAACCTGAAAACAGTGCATTCTTGTAAATATTTTTTCCTCCAATGAGTGATGTCATCCAAACACAGCTGATTCTATTTCTGATTTTTTTTTTTCGCTTTCAAATTCCATCAAATTGTCAGTATTCTTCAGTGGCATGTTATAGATCTATATTTCTTGTCAGTTTAAAAATCATATTTGCTCTTTTGGATAACAGTAATCCTAAGGGAGCATATGCCAAATGGTAAAGTGTTTGTTTATTTTTGCTATCAGGGTAAATTAATAGCTGTGCTAAGGTTATATGATGTATGCTATAAAACTGCCAATTTATTCTGTGGAATAGTTTAAAAATATTTTTTTTCTTTCTGCTCATTAGTTAAATAGGTAGAGTTAGGAGCCATGAATATATGGTAAAATTTATACAATGTTAGTGGTATCTAGAGTGAAAAATAATAGTGAGAGATCCACCAAAGTGATCCTTGTTGTTAGCCACAGCATGGCTATTTTAAAAGAGAATTTTGATATTTATTAATCACTTTTGCAACTCAAGCAGAAATATGTTAATATTCACAGTAGATGTTCTTTATAACAGGAGGACATGAATCTTAATGAAGAACGGAAAGCTCCTTTACGAAACAAAGATTTTACCACCAAGCGTGAGATGGTCGTTCAATATATTTCTGCTACTGCCAAATCTGTAAGTAGTGACACTTTCCTGGTGCTCTTGTAATGAGTTCAGCATTATCTGCTTAAAAAGAAACCAACCTCAGATCTTCAAGTTCTTGCCTCAGTATACTCATATAGACTATTGAGAAAAACTTCATACATGTATTTTTACACATTTAGTATAATTCGAGAGACTTCTATTATTTAAAACAATGCAGACTAAGGATAGAAGCCTCTGAGTTAATCCAGTGAGTTTTGGGGCAGTGGTTTTATGCACTTCCTAAAAATTGAGAGCAATTTGTAGGTATTCCACTAAATATACTGTTGGTTATATGAAAATTTTGAGGGAGAAGACACAAGCATAGTCTACTCACAAGTTTTAACTAAGTTTACATTAAAGCTTCATGTCTGGTTTCTCCTTGCATGAAGTTTTAAGCAATATTTTTAATAATGCTGTTTTAAGTTTTTTATTTATGTGGTACTTACTATATTAACTATCTCATAATTGTTATCATGCAGCTTAATATAAAAGAGAATGCTTACTTGGAGCTTTAATCACTTCTCTGTGAGTTTCAAGACTTGAAAGTAGAGTTCTTCGGAAAGACTTGTTTTCAGCAGGAAAAACATTAGTGTTTTAATGGAATATGTATGTGGCTTTGTTCACTTCCTAAGATGTTTCCAAAAATAGACTTCAGGTTTGATTTCTTTTCGCAAGAAAAAAATGTATTTTTGAAATGCTAAATGTATCTTTTACCTTTCTGTTAGTAAAAAGCTTTATACAACTAGAGTTCATAAAATCACTGTGTACATGTGCACACACACCTATTTCACATATTATACATAATAATTTTATGGGTGTGGTATATGTATTATGTGGATATATATAAATAATACACATGCATTTACATTTAAAAATGAATATTTTAAGTTTAAAAAATTGATCCATGAAGAAAATAGTTCCTCATTGGAAAGTATGTTCTAAAATTATTTGGCGATCCTGTTAATGCTATTTCAGTGCAGTAACTACAGTGGCAATTACTGATGCATTTTGCCTTGAATTCTACAATTGTATTGATTCCATATTGTAGTTTAAGCAAGCTAAATCTGAATGCTGAACTATTTAAACAAAACGCATTGCAGCTCTGCCAGAGCAGAGCAACAGCATGTTTTTTAATTTGCTTCTGGTATCCAAGGGCAGAAATATGTTTCAAGTGATAAGTGAAATTTGCCATGAGCGTCATTTTCAATAGAATTAGGTGATGCATAGGGTTTTACTTTGAAATTCTGATGAATCTCTTCTCATTTTTGCACTCAAGTTATTGTTCACAGAAAAATGCTTTAGGAAATGCAGGGTGCACATTTCATGTTATTTTTCAAACACCTAAAAGCAGATACACTAGTAAATCTATGTAACTAAATCGGAGTGCAAAGTACAGATAATAATATATGAATAATCATGTGTTTTTAATGATAAAATTTTGTTAGTGTCTCTGGCTCATTTGGTTTTGTTTATGTAAGTGGGACTGGATATAATGAAGATTATACGAAGCTCTTATTCCTTAACCTTTTGATTTTTACTCTATGTAGAACTTGTTTTCATTTATTCTCACATTGTTTCCTCTTTAACTGGCCAAAGACATGTACACTTGAGGTTATATACTCATTTTTCACATCAAAATGCCAAAATTTGGGTAAATGTTGGATGAGCGTCTTGAATTGCTTTATTTGAAAGATGGAAATTAAATGTTTCTCCAAAGACATGAACATTCTTTTTAAGGCATTAGCCTCGGAATCAGTACTATAAATATTTAGTATATGACCCTTATTTATTTCATTGAACATATGTATGGGCACCTGACATGCATGTATCACTTTCATTAGAGTTTCAAGGTTATATTTCTTATTTCCTAATATTTTTTGTGGACCAAGTATTATGATGAAAGAAAGCCTATTGATAAGCATGTTTTAAAGCTTTTTCATCTAGGGGAGATGTTAACTAGTACTGTGTTTTCCATTGTTACAACAAAGAAAATTACTTATGTAATTTCCTTTTGAAGGTGAGAAGGATAAACAAAATAAACATTCAGTGACAAACAAACCTCTTTTGACCTCTTCATGATTATGACCATAATATTTGCATAAACTGTAGCCTATGGCTGTGTAACCAAGGTTTCCATCCTGTTGTCTTTCAGTAGGCTTTAGACATGCTTTGTATATCTTCTACTTTTTTTTGCTTACTTTTTCATTATATTGATACACTGATGAAAAACATATAACCACTTCTTTATGAGAATACTTTATAAGTAGTCAAAACTTTAATCTTAAAGTAAGAACAAAGTTAAGAGTTAGTGTTCCTGATGGGGAATGTTTTATAGTCACATGTAGAACATGTGAGAATTATAGTTAAATTTAAACATAAATTGTACATTTCCTTCTGTACCACCTGCATTAGTCATTTTGCATAGAATTGAAAAACAAACAAAATATGAGCTCAGTAAGAAATTTCCATCATTCTCCTGGGTTCCTGGGTAAGAGTAAAACAAGATGAAACTAATATACAGGTATGTGCTCAAAACCCATTTCCAAAGCAAATGTAATTATGTAATTAACTTTGCTTAAATAAGCACAGAGTAAAAATATATAGGAAATTAAAAGATAATGATGCAAACTACTGCTTAGTTTTTTCTTGTTAAAATTCCATAATAGAGAATATTAAATTGTGGGAATGTTAAAGGAAAAAGTAGCTTGAATACCTGTCAGCGATAAATGGACTTTAAATAAGGGAGTGCAGAAGAACTTGTTCTCTGCAGAAGCTGGACTTATTTGCTCATTATGGCAAGTGTGGTTATGGACCTGACCTAAGAGTGTTGTTACATGTAGATAATTTGGCCATAAACAATCTGTAAGAATTTACATTTTCAAAACACCAGCATATATTTTCAGAAATGGAAAACCAAGCTTTGTTAATATTGCAGAAGTTGTCATACCCATTCATAATCCTGAAGGAAGCACAAATAGTAGTGATTTAGGGCATCTTGTATGTTGTATTGTAACAGCCTATATTGACATTCATGAGGAAAAATTAGTCACTGAAATCCTAAGATTAGTTTGCCAAAAGCCAGTGTCATTATTAGAATATTAAGAGACTAGTTTATTTCTAACTTAAATCACAGTCTTGGAAGTTGAGATTTTAAAATACGTAAAATCACATTTTTGAAGACACATGACCCCTTGAGAGGTATTATTGATTTTAAAAAATCTCAATAAGGAATGATTAAAATAGTGATACCAAATACACCTCTAGAATTTTTAGATTGACCCATAAAATAAGCAGTTGAAAATTGCAGTATATCTCTGTGTGTGTGTGTGTGTATGTGTGTGTGTGTGTGTGTGTGTGTGTGTGTATACATGTATTACCATTTTGCTTTTGCTGTTAGCAGATATTTTCTTTCTCAGGTGAAGCAATTGAAGTCAAACTGACCAGACCAGTTTCTTTTAGCTTTCCTTGGCCAATCTAATCTGTTTGCTGTATGTGTTTTAATTAAATGCAAGCATTTTGCAATCATAACTATTAATGGGCTATATTCTGGTTGTTTCACTGAGTATACACCTGGCTTAAGTGTCAATACAGGCTTGCATTCTTGTTTTAGTCTCATGTCTGTGTTAAATAAACACGGGACAGATAAGACCTCTGTCTTTTTGGTCGGAGAAAATAATTTAGGTCAATAGCGTATCTTTCAATTCAGAAGACTGTTAATGGCATCAAAGAGGCTTTTATTCAGCTAAATAATCAGTACCTGTAAATACTCTGTTGAATGAGTATTTAAGAAACCTGCTTCTCTATTTGGAGATTCAGGGATTCCTCTGAAATAATTTGCTTAGAGACTGTCATTATCATTTTGTGTCTTGTAGTATCCTGTTCAATTTAGGATTCTTACTGGTATTTCAATAATATTTTAGTTTTCTTTTTAAAGTATTAGGTGGAAAATAGAACACATATTGATAATAACTGCTATCAGTTTAAAGGTTTTACTGTGGATTAATTAGTTCTTTTTTGGACATTGCTTGCTATTTAAGTGTAGGGCTCTGATAACAATGATTTGATTTTTATTAGGGTTTTGGCATAAAATTATGTTTAGAAGTATGATTTCACTTCTTGCTGTCTTAAACACCATCTGCCTCTCAGAAATTCTATCTCTTATCTATTAGGAAAGCTCAAAGTTTCTGTTTTTGAACTGTTTTCTCTTTATGAGTATCTGCATGTTTAGATATAAACTGCTTTTATGTCATTATATTAATTCTATTCTATTCTATTATTTTATTACAAAAGCTAGGATGGCCTAGAAAACTAGAGTCATAAGCAATCTATCTTCTTTGTATTTTCAAGTATAATATCAAACAGTATTATAAAACTTAAAATTATAACAATATAACATACTCCAGTTTTCAACCTGCAGTTCATTTCTTAACTTAATGCATGACTTTAAATGCAACATTTATTTTCTAAAATACCTTGTTTCAACCATAATATTATATCCATTATAACAAGGAAAGAAAAAAAAGCATTATTTGGAAAAAATTCAATTTTCTGTTGATATGTTTGTTGAGTGGCTGTGAGCTGGTAAAGTATCTGAGACCTGGTTACACTTACTTAATTTTACATTACGTGGTATTTAGATTATACTATATAAGCCCATTGCAGTATATTAAAATAATCTTTAAACAGTAATAATTGTTTGGGAATTCTCATTTTGAGACTTCACACATTTTGCTAATATGGTAGAAATTACTATTGGTATATTTGTTTTAGCAACTAAGTTTAAAGTATTAAATGTATACATAGGGTTAGCTATTTACTAATTTACTAAACACTTAATTTCTGTGAAAAGCTTCTGATTATTAATAACTGTTGCTGTTTGTTTTTTGTTTCTTTTATCCCATAACTATTCTTCGTTGACTACTATATGCAGATAATTGGAAGTAAAGTTACAGTGACTACAAAAGATGTGTTTTACCCTTAGATACGAATTT